GCCTGAAGCACACAGTACTGGTGATGTGTTTGTACACTTTGGATCTACACAAGTGGGACAATGCAGGACTCCATCTGCAATTGCAAAAAAGACAAATAAATTGTCAAATATCTGTTTTTGGTGAAAGATACTGGTCAGTTCTATACACATAAAAATGTAAAGTTACGTTTTCTGTGTAAAATGGCAAACAGAAATATGTGATGTTGTAAACTTGTAATGGTGAAGCAATTGTTGAAATGTAAAAATCTTTTGCTATTACCTGGTGGTAATGTTGTACTGCTTGGTGTAGGTGTTGTAATAATTTGTACCCGATTACACTCCGGAGTGGCACAAACAGATGTCCCACCAGTGATGGATCCAGTAGTATTCAGGAATATCAGATCTAGCAGGCTTTGAGGAGCTCTATTTATATTTGGAGAGACACAACCCTGCAGTGGATGTGTTGTGGACTGATTTGACACTGTTGAGAAAAAAAATTACCAAGTTTGATCTTTTTGAACACTTGCTTTTTTAAAACAAAACAAAAACACATGGTATTTCTGATCAATACTTATGTCGATCCACAATGTCTTTATTTTGTCACAAGTTGCGCAAAATGCTTTTATTCATCTATTAACATACTGTATGCTCATAAGCTGCATTTTATATCTTTACAGTGACTGCCAGCAGGTTCATAAAGTACTTTAAAGTGATACGTACAACTTGAAATGAAACCGGAATATTAACTTTTACTTCTTACTTATTTTAAAATATATGGAGTAAAAAGCACAGATAACTGTGCGAAAATGTAAGAAGTAGAAATATAAAGCTGTCTGAAAAATAATTGCTAAAGTATAATAGCAAAAGTTCTACTTATGTACAGTGACAAAGTATTTGAACATTGGTACTTTACAACTCTGACTACCTGTTGAATTAAAAGTTTTTATTGTTTTTAATCTGTTACATTAAAAGGTCAAATGTAGGCTACTTTAGTTTGTCAAATAAATGTGTACTTTGGTACGTATATGTTATATTCACTATTAATATCCATAAAATTTCTAAATATTTTTGTGAATGGGGCCAACACGTCATTTTCTACAAACTGGATAAAAATCAGAATTTGAATATTCGTTCAGAGCTCCTTATGGAGGCTAAATGTTGCGTGATGTCAGTTTTGTCCAACATTTCTCAGGTTCTTATTTGGATTACCCAAAGAACTACATTTGTTTCTAAGATTTTATGTAATTGAAATGGTATATTGCATGGCTTTTTGGTGCACAAGCCATTCAGGATGAACTGTGAGCTTTTATTGTTTTCCTAAAATCCACAATGGCATAAGAATTGGGTGAAAGCGGTGTGGAGGAAAGACTGAAAACCACTGAAAGACAGCATGCTTTTCTCCGACTATTTTGAAGACTCTGCCCTTTCAGTGTCTCCAAGTTTGAGTAAATCCATTGGTTTTATGCCCAAAAGGCTTGAGCTGAAGGAGAGGTCTGCAGCAACCATGAACTACTGAAAACATGTCTCCAAAATTCCAAGCAAATATTTAGTATTTGCAAAAAATGAGAAATAGTCAAAATGTCGACAAAGATGCAGTGCTTTCAGACCTTGAATAATGCACAGAAAACAAGTTCATATTAATTTAGAAACAACAATACTAATGTTTAAGGAGGTGTTCAGAAATCAATATTTGGTGAAATGATTTCCACCAAATACAGGATAACTGTGCAGTAGTTTCTTCGTTTTTTCTAGAGCTGTATTTAATCATAATGGAATCAAAAAATATTTATACCATGAGGGACACCCTGCATAACAGGAACTTTTTTACCTTCATCATGAGCCAAAAGAATGTGCCAAAGCCGAAACCAAAGCAAACTGGTGAGTTGATATATATTTTAGGACTA